GAGAGATGTTGTTCCAAAAAACTCCACGCTTCAGGCTACGTTTCTCCGTTTTTTTTTTTTTTTTTTTTTTTTTTGTCAGAAAATTATAACATAATTTGAATATTCAACGAGAGATCGTTTTGTACATTTCGACATAATATACATTGTACGCGCAGAAATATGTTTGGAGATCTACTCGAGTGGCAACAGATAGATATAACAACTGATTTTGAATTATCTTTAGCAGTAAAACTCCGTAACGATAATTTTTAACTCTTGTACCTTATGTGAAACAGTAGAGAGATGTTAATAAAACGTAAAGACTGTGGTTTTTAAGACGATACCATTTAATAATAATTCATGAGCAAACGTTAAGCATCGAACGCCGTTATAATGAATTTTTAAACAGCGAATCTTGCGACTCGAATGATCGATCTATGCGAGAAAGTCACGGCAGACGCATGCATGTTTCAACTCCGTGAAACTCCGTTCCAAACTGATAACGTCTTCGCGACAAGAATCGACCTCCTTTCCAGAGGCATTCACGCGAGTTGGCACATTTATGTACTAACATTCAGATAACGCTATTATGCTATAATCTGTAGTACATATGTCATTGATTCGGGCGACTAACCGAGAAGGATAACTGGTCCGCGATAAGATTAAGAAACTCGCTCGTCACTGCTACACAACTGCTGAACTTTGATTCAACGATTATTGCTCGTAGTAAAATGCGAAAGAATATTAAGCTAACGTTTGAAGAAAGAACTTTCAAACTGCATTGTATATATATCGCGTCGATTCGATTTGCTTTTACGGTTCAGAGCAATTGGAGAGAATCACTCGCGACAATGTGAAATCAATCGATATGAGTTTGTTAGAAAACGAACGTCTAAGAAAAGAAACGAGAGCTATGAATTGTTAAAGTTGTTCATTTGTCGCGACGTGAAACTATACACGAGGTTGTACATAATTGTAAGACAGACAGGAATTTAAGGCGCTCTAAACGGATCGAGATTAGCATTGGCAATTTTTATAATTAATATTTAATTACAATTCATTATAATAATTATATATTTATTAATGTATATTATATTTTTATAATTAATTATAATAATATTTCACAACGCGATAAAATTGTTGAAAGGTTTCGCGGTTTATTCCGATTGTGAAATGGCAAAAGTGTTCCAAGTGTTGCCTCGGGTCCAATTTTCCAACAGTGTCGAGAAGTTCGTCGCGGTTCATTTACGGGAAATGATAGAAAGCAGCATCTCGTTCGAACGACCGAACGAATTAACCAACTCGAACCAGCCGGAAATTCTCAGCGAGAGGAGCATCGGAATCGGCGGACAAAGCAAATCGAAACGATTCGATCACGGGGTAACCAAGTAAACACGAGAGCCGCAAGAGCAATAGGCAACAAGCAAAATACCGTGTAATCCGAAACGTTACACAGAAAGCTCGAGGGGGGTTTGACGTTTTCGGGTTTGGCTCGTGTTTCGTTGTACGTGGGAACGCGTGACTCGTACAGGGTTGCGGAGGCGAAGAGGCGGAGGGTTGGTTGTTTTTCTCGTAGGCGGTGCTCGTGGATCCTTTCGGGTTTTGCGGCTCGAGTTTTTCAAACTGAACGCCCAAGCCTGTTTTTCCACCGCCACGTGACTCCGCGATGAAGTTTCGTCGGCCCCGTAATCACGTGCATCCCCCCTAACTCTGGCACGCGTTCGTCCCATTGTTACGCGAGTTTACGCGATCACAGATTAAGTAGCTCTTGATGGGAACTAAACACCGTTTAAACCGCATACTTACCATTAGAGACTGTGTAAACGGCGTGTCTGAGTGCCTAAGGTGTAGGTTGGGTTTAGGTTAGGTTCTACTCGTCGCGTAAATAGCGAGTCGAAGTACGCAGGCAGAGATTTTTTTTATGAAAATGAACAGTGTTTCAACAGAACAATCTTACATGTGTTAGAAACAAAAATATGTATCCCAAGGAAAGATAATTTCTATCTATATATTTACTAATGCCTAAGGTTTAAGTTTAGGTTAGGTTAGGTTTTGTTCGTCGAGTCAAAGCACGTAATCAACGATTTTTATAGAAAAGCAGTATTTCGACAATTATACATGTGTCAGAAACAAAAATATGTATCCGAAAGAAAGATAATTTCTATCTACATATTTGCTAATGTCTAAGGTTTAGGTTAGGTTTTGTTTGTTGAGTCAAAGCACGTAATCAACGATTTTTATACAAAGGAAAGCAGTATTTCAACAGAACAATCTTACATGTGTCAGAAACAAAAATATGTATCCCAAGGAAAGATAATTTCTATCTATATATTTACTAATGCCTAAGGTTTAGGTTTAGGTTAGGTTAGGTTTTGTTCGTCGAGTCAAAGCACGTAATCAACGATTTTTATAGAAAAGCAGTATTTCAACGATCATACATGTGTCAGAAACAAAAATATGTATCCGAAAGAAAGATAATTTCTATCTATATATTTGCTAATGTCTAAGGTTTAGGTTAGGTTTTGTTCGTTGAGTCAAAGCACGTAATCAACGGTTTTTATACAAAGGAAAGTAGTATTTCAACAGAACAATCTTACATGTGTCAGAAACAAAAATATGTATCCCAAGGAAAGATAATTTCTATCTATATATTTACTAATGCCTAAGGTTTAGGTTTAGGTTAGGTTAGGTTTTGTTCGTCGAGTCAAAGCACGTAATCAACGATTTTTATAGAAAAGCAGTATTTCAACGATCATACATGTGTCAGAAACAAAAATATGTATCCGAAAGAAAGATAATTTCTATCTATATATTTGCTAATGTCTAAGGTTTAGGTTAGGTTTTGTTCGTCGAGTCAAAGCACGTAATCAACGATTTTTATACAAAGGAAAGCAGTAGTTCAACAGAACAATCTTACATGTGTCAGAAACAAAAATATATGTCCGAAAGAAAGATAATTTCTTCCACTGTTATTTTTGATTTGAAATTAAAAACTAATTTGTGGGTAAATGGCCCTCTTACTCCTATTGAACAAAATGGTTCCATTGATTTAGTTCGTACAATTCTGGCATGTGAATAAACTCTTCGTTATTTGGTACAAGATTCATGCCGCCGATTTAAATTGAATTACATTTAATCTTAAATGTTTGAACGAGTTTTAAACATTAATTCAGGCAAGCGTGTTCTTCGAACAGAAACGAGAATCACATTTTGCGCAGATTGGTCTTGCGACCAAGCCCGTCTATTTGATTTTTTGATATAACACGATTGTATCTTATAATTACATTAAAAATTATAAATTATATTATAAATCGAGTTCGTACAAGATAATAAATGCACCATCTTTATAGATAAATAATATGAAAATAAAATTGAGACGTCTTGCATGGCGTCTTGTCTTAAAATATCGACTCATGCTCGTGATACGAATTATGGTCCCGGTTTGAAAAGAAAAAAAAAATTACAGCAACACCCGTTTAGTTTTAGACTTAGGTTACTAATCTAAACCTAACCCAAACCTTAACCTTAACCTAAACCTAACCTAAACCTAATCTAAACCTAATCTAACCTAAAGCTTTCCTCTTGGAAGTACAAATCACATAGAATGTTCCAATACTTTACACCTAATGTGAGTTACAGTTACAATAATTAATGCTTATCTGAGACATTTGGAAAGAAAATCGTAAAGCAAAGGGTTAAACTATATTTGTATAAATGTCAAAATTAATTAGTTATCTTTGGTCAAACTTCGATACTTCATTAACTTGCTATGTCGATTTCCCATATAAGACACATATATTCGAATTATTATTTTTTCGTCAGAAAATTCTTTTTGTTTCTTATCTATTTTGATTGTATTGAACCATTATTAGGGCTCATACCAAAAATGGTGGTCCTGTGTTACCAACGTAGAAAATAATTCTGGCCATCTTATTTTGTACTCCTCTCGTGATACTTTTTGATTGAAAAAATTTTTAACGATTGTATTTATCGTGACTAGAATGAAGTATAACTTTAAATTTAAATAGTATAACTTTATAGTATAACCATAAAATTACACTTTATAGTATAAACTACTATATAGCATAACTAGAAGTATAAACTACTATATACTAGAAATTATACTATTTATATATCTAGAAACTTTACTTAATACTGTACTATATATATTATAGTATAACTAGAAGTATAAACTACTATATACTAGAAATTATACTATTTATATAACTAGAAACTTTACTTAATACTGTACTATATAGAATAACTAGAAGTATAAACTACTATATACTAGAAACTATATTACTTATATAACTAGAAACTTTATAGTATAAACTACTAAACTAACTTTATAGTATAAACTACCAAACTAACTTTATAGTAGTATAAACTACTAAACTAACTTTATTATAACTACCAAACTAACTTTATAGTATAAACTACTATATAGTATAACTAGAAGTATAACTTTAAACATAAGTATACTTAAGTATAATTCTAATGCAAATGCACGAGCAACTAAATTAAAAGTTAAAATATCGCACAGGTAGATACAGATTGAACGAATGCTTGTTCGTAGGTAAATTATTTACGTTCGCCTCGCGAGTAAAGCGTTGTCGAGCTGAAACATCGCCTGACACAACGTCCCATAAAAACGTTATGGCGTCTGCCTAGTCGGAGCGTTGTCCCAACGTCTTTTTTGAAATCACGCGAGTAAAACCGCAAGCCACAACATAAAGAAATCCCATTTATCAGATTGTCGACTGTTGAACAATCTTCTAAGAAATATTTCAACAGCGCTTTTTATTCATTTTTCATCTCACTTGATCCTTCTTCTTCTCCTCCTTCTTCATCTTTTTTTTCCTTTCTTCAACATTTTCATCGTCTCTTCTCTTTCACATTATCTCGTTTCTTCCATTTTATGTTTATCATTCCGCGAGGATTACGAACGTTATTCTTAAATTTGGTTCTTTATCATTTTCTTTGACAAACTCAAGTCGTTTATTCTTTTCCTTTTGTTTTAGAACGGAAGATTGAAACACCAAGCTGTTTTCCGATCAAGGAAGAAGAACGTGAGTCTCTTTTTAATTTGATATTTCTTTCGCCGTCCGTTTATTTCCGTTCCTTCTTTTTCGTTCTTTCTCGATTTCTCTTCTTCTTCTTTTTTTTTTTTTTTTTTTTTTTTTTTCTACTCGCGCGTTGTCCGCGCAGGCAACAAAATGAAAGATTCATCCTCTCAAACATACGACGTGTGTCTCTAACCCTGTCGCTCGTCACGAATGATCGCAAGCAACTTGAAAGTTTTTTTGAACAAGACACGGTATCAAAAAGATCGGACGAAGATCCCTCTCGAAGCGTCGACCCTTACCTTTTTCAAGTGGGCTATCAAGTAGAGAGGGGCACGAAACATTAAGTACCAGAAGTACCATCGACTCTGTCCCATATGTCGTCGAGGATGTAGTGTCAGACACGGCAGTTGGCCACGGCTCGCTGGTACAATAGCATTGTTACGTGCGATTAGCAGTCGCATTTCGAGTTGTTTATCATCAGCCCGATATAGCCGGGCTATCATCCGAAGTTTCAAAGTTGAGTGGCACGGTTCCCGTGGAAAATGCGGGCGCCTCTAGCCCCTACTTCTCGTCGAGGACGTCAAAGACAGTTTACTCGATACAGTTTCGGACCGTTGCCGATATTATTTGATGAACTATGGAAAGTAAGATGTTTATCTATCAGTTCATGGGGGCACAGTGGAAGACGAAGGTAGTAAAATTCACAATTTTTTTCAAAATTGGGCTTGTTCCAAAGCTCGAAGCCTCTATCTTCAAAGTGCATCGTTCATTTCATTTTTACATCGTGCGACAGATAGTAAGATAAAGACATTTCTCTTGCTATAAAATTCTATAAAGCGTCGTAGTACATAAAAGCATTAGAAAGTTTTTTTTTTTTTTTTTTTTTAGAGAGAAGTTTTAAGAGATTATTGTGAAAGGGAGACTTCAATCTTGTGAAACAAATTTTTTTCAATGTTTTCACGTACCATTTTCGAAAAGGAAAGTATCTCCGTTTGTTCCCCTATCGCTGCGTGATATTTTAAAAAATATTTTAAAATAAAATAAATAAATATAATAAATTAAATAAATAAATATAATAAATTAAATAAATAAATATTTTATAATAAACTAAATAAATAAATAAATTATTTATTTTAAATAAATAAACGATGAATTTGAAAAGTGGGGATACTTCAAGCTTCAAAATATTTCTACGATTTTGTTTGACAAAACAATATTCGAATATTTACTGTCCGAATATTACTGGGAGTCATTGTATGTACAGGGTGGACAAAAAAGTTTGACATGACCTTCAATTTGGTGGAAATATATCTAAAGAACCTATTGCAAAATTAATCTTGATCTTGAATTGAATCAAGGTAAAAAAAAATTATTCTTTTTTTTTTAAGTAAAACTCTTCCAAGAAACCATAAGTCGCAACCTAATAGTTCTTTTGAAAAATAGCAAAAATGTTTCTTAATCGTTCAATACTGCGGACTAACAGCGACTTAATGTTCTGAACACACGTCTATTTTACGTAATTTTTAGCATTAGATTTCGCCAACATTCGATTTTTCATAGTTTGCAGCATCGGTACAAGTCTAAATTTATCTAAATGATAAAACTAACTGTCAATATTATTCGAAATATAAACATCCGCGCGTCGAGAACCATAAAGTCGCTGTTAGCACTCACGCGTCCGCAGTGTTAAATGATTAAAAAACTTTTCGGCCATTTTTCAAAAGAACTGTTAGATTCCTAGGAAAAATTTTACGAGTAGAATACGATGCAAAAAGAAAAAAAAAATTTTTATCGACCTCGAAATTCAAGATTAACGTCAATTTTATCATACTTTCCACGTATGTTATTCGATCAAATCTATGTATGTAGTTCTATCATCCATGATAGTCACGGACGAATTTTTCTTACCACCCTGTACATAAAGTCGGCCAACAAAGTCCCGAAATAAAGAAGCGTAAGTCGTAACAACGCGGAAAGGGTAACACCTACGAAAAAGAGAGAGAGAGAGAGAGAGAGAGAGAGAGAGAGAGAGAGAGAGAGAATGGGATCTTACGTTGCAGAAGGAGAACGCGTGTTACACGCGCGTGCACGTTCATTGGCGCACATGGTGCCAGAAGCGATGGGGCACCAGTTGTCCCGGCACGCTCCTGACACGTGCGGCTCACGTGGCGGCTCGGACGAGTGGATTGTTCATTCCAACGTTTTGCGAGCCATTTTTGTACCAACCTGAACGAACATCGGCCTTGCCCCCATACACGACGCGATAATGGAAAATAATTGATAAAACGAGAAACACACCGCAATCGCGCCGAGACACGAGGATTCTAACGATTCTAACGAGTAATTGCGCGCTTGCGCGTGAAGCATTTCACGTTTTAACGTGATAAATCCATCTGATCTGTCCGTGCAGTGTTGACTCTCGATCAGTTTCTTAACGTAGCGTCGTTAATTCGTCGGATTTGCACCATGAATTTTTTAAATAAAATAGATGAATAGACTAGCGACAGAATAATACATAAATATTTATATATCGAAAGACCAACGTCGGTTTTAAAAATAATATTCCTCTGATTAAGATTCGAAATTACATGAATTCTTAACTTTCGTCATTAACAAAATGGCAATTAACGTTCATTCGTGGACTTGTACCATTATAAATTTTTGTTCGTGTCGAACGAATCTAAATAAATAAACTGATTAAATAAATGACGAATAGACAATAAAATAGTGTGAAAAGTAAATAAATACTTTTATCAAAAAATCAACCATAGTAAGAATAAATTTTGTCTAATTAAGATCTAACGTTGCATGCAATAAACATATAATGAGTCACGTTAATAATATTGTCGAACATTACTTATAGAAACTAATCAATTATTTGCTTCAAAGTCAATTGAATAAAATAACTTTAATCCTAATTTGTAGCCTGTATTTATTTATCTAAAATTCAGACATTCACAATGTTATTAATTAAATAAATGACGAATAGACAATAAAATAGTGTGAAATAAGTAAATACATTTATATAAAATATATAAATATATAAATACACTTATCAAAAAATCAATAAAATCAAAAAGTGAATAGATACATTTATCAAAAAATCAATCACAGTAAAAATAAATTTTGTCTAATTAAGATCCAACATTAGATATAATAAATATATAATGAGTCACGTTAATAATAATGTCGAACATTACTTTTTTTACTTATAGAAACTAATCGAGTATTTGCTTCAATATAAACGAAATGAATTGAATAAAATAATTTTAATCCTAATTTGTAGCCTGTATTTATTTATCTAAAATTCAGACATTCGCAATGTTATTAATTAAATAAATGATGAATAGACAATAAAATAGTGTGAAATAAGTAAATACATTTATATAAAATATATAAATATATAAATACATTTATCAAAAAATCAATAAAATCAAAAAGTAAATA